AATTCTTGGAAGAAGTCTACTCACTCCGAGAAGTCTACTCAGAAGTCTACTAAAAAAAAGAGATTAGTTTTGTAATTAACCAAACTTTGACTTTTTGTAGGAAGTCTACTCGTAACAGTAGACTTTTATGGAGAAGTCTACTTCTAAAGTAGACTTCAGAGAGGTTACTTTTGCAGTTATCCAATATTGACTTTCTAGAGTATACTTCATTTGAAGTCTACTTAGGTTAGTTTTGGAGTTGACCAAATATTGAATCAATTTCCGAGTAGACTTTGTTTGAAGTCTAGTTAGTCTACTTTTACGAGTAGACTTCTTACGAAAAAGTTAAAGATTGGTCAACTGCAAAATTAACTTTTTACTACGTAGCCTTCTTTTGAAGTCTACGCCACTTTTATGTTTCCAAAGGTAATGACGCAGACTTCAACAGAAGTCTACTATCAGTAATCAGTACACACAGTCAATTGCAAAACTAACATGTGCATTGACTAGCAAACTTCTTCTGAAGTCTACTACCATATGTAGACTTCTTTGGCAGCACAGATCAGAAAACTCACGAAAATCGACTGAAAATAATCACCTATCAGTGCTATTTAGCTTCTTCAACCGTCGATTGCTTCGATTTTAGCCACCACCAAACAAGTCTAGTCGATTTGCCCAACCAAATCATCAGATATGGCAATATCTTAGAGCCCCCAAGTTTTATAAAGTTAAATTTGAGAGTTTTGTGCTAAAAATGGAGAAAAAATGAAAGATTAGAAGACTAAGAGAAGAGAAAATGAGCTTACAAAGCTAAAAATTGGGCTGTTGAAGCAAGAAAAGCTTCAAATTAGTTAAAAATGGTGGTTGGGTGAATTAGTGATGGTATTTTCGTGAATAAGTGAGGAGGATGAAGATTGTTTGGTCAACTAGATTTTCGAAAATAAAACAAAAAACAATAATCTGATGACATTTTCGTAAATACATGAAATTGATAAGGATAGAATTGAGAGAAAACAATTGATATTAAAAGTAGTGAAAAGAGAGGTTAGAATGTGCACAGATCAGAAGACTCACGAAAAGCGACTGAAAATAATCACCTATCAGTGCTATTTAGCTTCTTCAACCGTCGATTGCTTCGATTTTAGCCACCACCAAACAAGTCTAGTCGATTTGCCCAACCAAATCATTAGATATGGCAATATCTTAGAGCCCCAAGTTTTATAAAGTTAAATTTGAGAGTTTTGTGCTAAAAATGGAGAAAAAATGAAAGATTAGAAGACTAAGAGAAGAGAAAATGAGCTTACAAAGCTAAAAATTGGGCTGTTGAAGCAATAAAAGCTTCAAATTAGTTAAAAATTGTGGTTGGGTGAATTGATAGTGATGGTATTTTCGTGAATAAGTGAGGAGGATGAAGATTGTTTGGTCAACTAGATTTTCGAAAATAAAATAAAAAACAATAATCTGATGACATTTTCGTAAATTCATGAAATTGATAAGGATAGAATTGAGAGAAAACAATTAATATTAAAAGTAGTGAAAAGAGAGGTTACATTTGCAATTGACTACAATTTGTGGGTTATATTTGCAAGAACCTCTTTTTAATTTTATTTAATATCTTCTGCATATTAATTGAGAAGCATTTTTAAAGAATAACCTTAGTTTTGTAAGAATTTACAGTGGTACCATTATTATGATGTGTCACCACCATAGAGCTTCTCACAAAACTTTAAATAAAACACTATGTTACTAGACTAACTAGGTATAACCCGCACCATACGCGTGATGAAATAATTAATATTAATTTAAATTTAGTATAATTTTAAAATCATATAATATAATATAACTAATTTATACAAATTTTATATAATATTATACTATAAAATTGATAATTTTTATAAAATATATGGTAATTTAAATTTTATATAATCTAATTTAAATTAATTTAAAAATTAATTATCATGCATAGCATATATTATAGCCGGGTTGAAATACGCAGACGCCATATAGCTTTGTCATATCCTGCGATTGATGACATGATTCGGGTCCAAGATTTAGGTATACCATATTTGTGTGTATATTTAATTACTTTTGATTTTTTAATAATAATTAAATATTATTAGTTAAATAGTTTGTTACTTATATACTATATCGAATGAATTAAAGAAAGACACACTTTCTATGTTTTTGATTTGGAAACAATAACTTTAGGCAATTAGCTCAAAATTATATTATACTAAATATTCAATACTACCGTATTTATTTTAAAGCTTTTATGATTCTATAAAATCTTGTGTTATTTGGATATGGATTTTAAACAATTTAACTCATAGAACAAGATTTTTGAAGACTTTCAAAATATTACATATATGGCTTAGATTCTCAAAGTCATTATAATAAAATATTTTCATAGATTTTCTAAATAAACAAATTCTTTCCAAATTTAACAAATTTCTCAACTCTTAAAATCAATCAAAACTTTATAACTCCATCTCCCAATAGCCGAAGTGCAACGTGAAATCAAGGTTGCCGAAGTGCGATGTAAATGAAGATCAGCAATGACTTTCTTGAAGAGCTATCCTTAAAGACACTCTCGATGAGCTGACGCTTACTACAAGATCAAACCAATTTTGCTTCATGAAGTTCGCCGAGCTGATTTGCAATCACCTCAACGAACTTGGGGGGGGGGGGGGGGGGGCTTATAGTTAGAGGGGAAATGAGCACATTTCCTAAAGGTTTTCTCTAGCAATAACCTAAGCTCATCAAGACAAGGAGAATCACGCCGACTTATGGATTAAGGAGAATTTTCAATAGATAATGGTAAAACTCCGAAGAATAAGGAAAAGAAGAAATTTTCCTAAACGGAAAAGAAGACAAATTCCTAAATAAAAAAGGGAAACTAGGTCAAAGAAACCATCCTAGCCTTCTTATAAAAAGAGAGCTCCTCATAAGTTGAAAATCATCAAAAAAAGTAAAAAAAAATCCGATCTAAAACAACCACCAAAAAATCTATAATCTAGAGAGAAAACATAATTCTCTCTAGATTTATTCTGTCTAAACACTTCGCAACCAAACTATGAATGGCTTGATCCCTTTACAAGGGTATGTAGGCAGCCTTTCTTGAAGGTCCAGCTATAACTTGATAAAAACTTCAAGTAGTTCATCTTTTCGATGACCTAATCTCCAAGCTCCAATTAGATATTCTCCAAAACCCAAACCGTAAATCATTTAGACCTAGTGGTAATTTTCTGATTCAACAGTTTGATTCCTTATGTTCAACACATCAAATTACTTCATGTTATGTATCCTCTCGAAAACATGTTCCACTAGGCTTACATGGCTACAATTTAACCAATTGCTTCTCGGTAAAAGTGATTGATTCAGGCTTAAACCATCACAAATTCAAGAATATCAATTTTTTAATAATATTAATAGAAAATCAGAATTTACAAAATAAAAGTAGATATATTTTTATTTTGACAAACAAAGTAAAATAATTCCATTCACAGTAAAACTAAAAAAAAAAATCATGTGATTTTATATGATTATTTTCGAAACAAAAGGTAAGACAGAAAAGTTCAAGAACTGATGTCTAAATGCTTTCCTGTTGTGGTTTTTCCAACTAAGAGGCCACATGTGTGAATTTCTCGCCTCTGTTGTTAGAAGAAAACATGATTGCCAATAAGTTGAGTAATAACAGTCATTGTTGTCTCTTTTTTTATGGACATTTGATCAAATCTTACATCATTCGTGCTTGTTTTGTACGAGGTAAATATTTATAAATTAAATATTTAAATCATAGGCCCCAATCCGTAAAATATGAATCCCTATTTCTAAATTCTTAATATAGTTTATTTTCTTTAATCATAGAATCTAAAAGAGAAAGCTTAGTAGTTTTGAAAATTAACTATCCCTTTTTTTATTTTTGCCAAATCTATATCCCATTAAACGGCCTAAAATCCCTAGTAAGTGAAAATTATTGAAGTCTTTGTATTTAGGTTTTTAGTGATTTTAATATCGCTCTGAGTTGCTAATTTTATTTTTGACCATTATAAACAAAATGGATATTATATTTACAATTTTTGTTTCATGATTTTATTTTTAACCATTATAGACAAAATGGGTATTATATTTACACTTTTTGTCCCATTTAACACTTCTACTTGGGGCAGCAAAGACAGCGCCTAAAGCTGGTGTCATAGACAAATCCAAAGATTGAATACTGGTCTTTGAATGATTCTAGTACTTAGACTTTGGATACTTGTATCTAAAGGTATCGTAAGATATCTTCACCCAAGGTTGACTGCATAGTTTGAGGAAATCTTTGGCTCTTTCCAAATTCTGTTTTGGGATTTTTGAGACCTTTCTCTTTGCTAACAATACACCTTTCCCAATAACTGTAGCACCTAAGTCTAACTCTTGCATCCAAACTCTTTTTCTTTCTAATTACCTTTTTTCAGAATATTCACTACAAAAAAAAAGTGGATATTGTTACAAATATTTTTGTCACAATATGTAATTTTTCAATCACAAAAATTATATTGTAACAATAATATTACAAATTATTAAAGATCACAATAAAAACGTCACAAAGCCATTTTAGTCATAAAAACGTCATAACATAATGTGACGATTGACAATAGTAACGACGTGTCACCATTTGTAACGATATTAAAACAGTCACAAAAACGATACAGTTTATGACAAAAAAACTATCACAATTAGGTCACAAGCTGTGACAAAAAATTGTCACATATTTGTAATAAATTCTTACTATATTTACGTCACTAATCCGCTATAAATTATGACAAACAATAATATCACAAAATTTGTTATAACTAGTTATTAAATTATAATCACAAAAACACAAATTAGTGACCACAATACTGTTACAAACCCGTCACATTTAGTAACTACAATATAATCACATAATTGTTATAAATTTTTTTTTATTGTAACTATTTTTTTACTAAAATCAATACAAAATATTTAGACCAAATATTTTTTGTTACTTCAATTCACATTTTTTAAATTAGATAATTAATTAATAAAACAGTAAAACTAAAATATAATAAACCAAACATTATATTACTTATGTCGAAGCAAAGCCAATACACAAACAGAATTTATAAAAAAATAAAGTCTTAATAAAATAAAAACTAAACATTACTTAAGATAAAAAGAAACTAGAATTACTAAATTAGATAGATGATGGACGATGGATGGTTTTAGTAGCTTTAAGCATTCTGATTTGCAAAAGACTCAGCCATCTTCTCCATAGCTTCAAGTCTTTTTTTAATTTCCAGATTTTCTTCATGATTTTGTTTGACTTCAGCTTCCAACTCTTGGAGCCGATTTGCAATCATCTCTGCTTCTTCTGGTTGTGGTTGACTTGAAGAAGCAATAGCAGATGGTACAACAAATTCCTTTAGAGCTCCCAGTCCAAAGACATAGCCTTGTTTAGATGACCCAGCAGCCTAGACAAAATACCCAAAAAATTGAGTAAAGTCATTAGCTACGTATATGAGCAAGCTACGTATGTTGACAATGATAACTTAAAAAAAAAAAAAAAAACAAACCAGAATCTACTTATACGTGACAACGATAACTTTAAAAAAAAAAAAAAACAAACCAGAATCTATTTATACATGACAATGATAACTTCAACAAAAAAACCAAACCAGAATCTATCTGCTACATTGTATGAAGACTAATAAAAAACGAAGATCAGATCAACTCATAATAGGTTCCTATCAATAACAAAACTACTTGCAAACATTTGATAAGAAAATCGTAAAGCACTATAAAATTCTGAAATATTACCTTAATATAAATTTCATTTTTCTCACGTTGGTCAAGATTTTCAGCCGTCACATTCCCTTCACCAGAAGATTCAAGCTGTTCCAAGTGTTCTTGTACATGCTTCTCATAAGTTTCTGCAACCACTCTAGCTCGTTGATCAACATATGTTCCGTCAGGTATGTTCCGTCAGGCTTCTGATTTGCTTTCTTCATCACAGCAATGTAAGAGTGGTCTTCATTGTTTGCTTCCTGTAAACAAAACAATAAAACAAAGTGATGCAATACAATAAACTTCACTATTTATCAGCGACGAAAAAAAAATGTACCAAAACATCTTGAACTTTGGCATATGATAGTGAACCGGATATGTGAGAATGAGGGCCTAAACCATTGCGATCAGACATTCGAGAAGCTCGGGCCTTCTCACTCTTTCCTTTTGCTTTTGGTGTTGCCCAATACAATTGCATAGCGGTCCAATCATCAAACAAAATCCACTCCGGTTTTTCTCCTTGTTTCTTTACATGGCTTATCATTCCTCGGAGAGGATAAGCAGCAAGCTTATTAAACTCACTTTCAACTTGATTGTTGATATTAGGATGCCAATTAAATTTTTTCTGAAAAAGTAAGAATATCAAACATCAAGAATATCATCGAGGCAACATTCCAGGTAGTGTCACTACATAAGCACTAGCGTTTTCATTTCAGTCACGATTATAAAGATCTGTCTAATCACAATTCAGAGCTAAAAAGACTTCAGCCATCAAAACAGAGACTTAATTTTAAAACAGGCTTCATTGATTCAGCTACCAGAAACTACTTGAACATATATATATATATATATATCCAGCACTAAAACTGACCACATTACTCCTACGGGATACAAGTAAGCTGGGGAACAAAGATTACCTTGAACAGACTAAACCATGTTTGTTTGTAGAAAACTGGCACTCTTTTCCAAGAGTACCATGGTCCTTTGAAACAACTTTGAATGATCTTTCTCACAGCAGTTGATACTTGGGTGTGGTGGTTAAACCTGTTTCATTAAAATAAATAACTTAATGAGTTCTAAATCTCTGAAAATAATCAATGGTATATAGGAAAAATTCTATACCATTTAGCTCCATTTTGTCGACCAGGATGCAGCAAGGGCAAAGTTGTACGATCCACATGTGGCTCTTCCATATCTACACTATGAATACAGATGATAATTATTGATTAAATCGCCGTGTTCTGATTTTCTAGTTTCTCTGACCAATTCACGAGCCCCTGAGAAACGAAAGATCACACTCACTTCATCTAGAAACAAATGGAAACAAACAAAAACGAGTCTAAGATAATTTTCATAGTCAACGCAGAGAGCTTCTTAGTTACCGCAATAGCAACCAGCAACAATACCGAAATTAGTAGCATAAGTAACGGGTATATTGTTATGGGCTTTCCTATGTTTTGACAGTAATCCAGCTCCTCCTCCTGCATTCGATAAACCCAAAATCTCAGATCATTCTGATGCTAAATTGACATCCCTCTATGATCCCGAAATCCCCAAGAAATATAAGAGTCAAGCCAATGCAGAAGTTACAATCCTCTAAAACCCTCAGAGGATAGCATAAAACTGAGAGACTAATCCAAAAATCTCAAGATCATCTGATGCTAAATTTCTTGCACTTTCCATCACTCACGGTGCCTAAACCTCTAACCAAATAGAAAAAGTCAAGCCAATGCAGAAGTTACTGTCCACTAAAACCTTCAAAATATGGCATCTAGGTGAGATTCCAATCCAAAAATCTCAGATCATTCAAATGCTAAATGTCGTTTACTTTTCCATCACTTTATAATCCCCAAAAGCAATATAAAAGTCAAGCCGATGCAGAATGTATTCTAATAGTCTAAACCCCTTAAAAGATAGCATACCTTAAGACAGAAATGGTTTGAGAGAAGTGACAACATCAACAAGCGAAGGGTCCAATCCAATTCGACGGTAGATTCAGAACCCCAAGAATCTCGATTTAATCGAGATCAGAAGAAAAGTCGAGAAGGATCAGTAGAGCCGAAAAAAATAATCCTCGGGAAGAGCAGGTGACGAGGCGGTGGTCGTCGTCGATGAGAAAATTCCTGTCGGCATCGTTGGTATCGGAGTGACGATGAGCTGTCTGATTTATAATTTATATAGATGTCTATATGTTAGATAAGTTTGTTAACTATGCTGTACACAACAAAATAATTGCATTATCTTAGTGGTAATGGCGACTGTCTGATTAGGAAGAGGAATGCATTTCGATTATTTGAGTCAACATATATACATTTTTTTTTTTTTGGTAAAGCGCCCAATTTGTTTCCTGATTGCCAAATATCAACTTTAATTTTAATTTATTTTTCATTAACTTTTAAGTAGATAATTAAAAAACACATTATAAATTATAATAACTTACATTAAAAAAGAATAGGAAAATAAATTTTAAACACATCGATCATGCTTTCTTGAATTCTTTGATCCGGATGAATTCTTGCAACTTTGTCAATAAACATTATTTTGTTTAGATCGAATTCATGTTTAATATCTTTCTTAGAAACAAATTCATCTGTGGGGTGAAACTCTCCTCCATCTTCATAAATCGTTTTGTTTAAATCAAAATCATGTTCAATTTTTTTCTTTTGCTTTATCTCTTGAATAACTTGTATTTCTTCTGCTTTTTGATCCTTTTGCATTTCGATTAATTCTGATTTTTTCCTATAAACAAGAACAAAAAAAATTATAAATCAAATATAAAACCATTTACATCAATTATAACTTAAAGAACAAGATTATAATTTTCTTAAAACATTTTTAAATAAATATTTATTATTATAAAAATATTAAAAATGGATCACAGATAAAAAAGGTTTTCAATTATAAAAGAACTGATTTTTTTTTAACATATAAACACATACATACCGTTTAATACAAAATATAACCACCTAATCTAACACATTCTACAACCTGAAATTTAGAAATTAATCAAACATAAACATATATTCAATACATGACATAAATAAAAACTTACAAGTTTTGGGATTTGAAAAGGTAATGGAGAAGAATATATGCAAAGTAATTTAGAAAGAAAAACTGAGAGAATAAAATGAAAGAAACAAATAAAGTGAAATAAATATCTAAATCTAAAGTCTATTTATATAGATGAGAGTAAGCTAAAAAAAGTAAAATTCATTCATGTTAGTTCCAGCAATCAAGGAAGATCTATTCAATCCTTTACTTAATCAACAAAGGAAAAGAACATGTGATATAGCATATTCATTCAATCTTTTCATCAACAAAGATTTATTATAGAAAATAAAAATAAGAAGAAAAAGAATATTGGGAGAATGATAATATTGTGACGATAATGATATATTTGGGTAGATTAATCAAACTTACATCCGAAAAAGTTGCTCTTATAAGATACCATAAGCCGCACACAAAAAATCAGTACCCGCGAGAACTAAGTAAAACTGTTCTTACGTGTTGACCAAATTATTAGCCGCATACTCCCTTATCAACTGAGACTTTCTTCTAGCGCTTAGACTGACCAGCAACGCCATCATCAATGGCTTGAAAGATACCAAGTGCACCACGTAAAGCTTGATAAACCGCAGAAGATGACACTTAGTTTTATCTGTTGCTGGACATTGATCTCTGTTATGTGCGGTAGCCGTCTTTTTTCCCTTAGAAGTTTTCTTATTAGAACCAAATGTCACAGCCTTTTTTGACTGAGAGTTAAACTTGAGTGGCGTTTCAAATGCATCTCCATCTATTAGAGGAACAGGTTTCTCTTCATCTTTTCTCTTGATCTTCTTCTTCTTCTTTGTGTTGTGTGTGAACCGATTGGGTTGCTACCTTATTACATAAAAACTTTGTTGATTCATATGTGGTGGTGCGTATCCTTCAACGCCTTGCGCGGGACCTGTGGTCAGATGTGGGTTCTCATCCTAGACAAGTACGTTACTCTTAGTTCACAAGCTAAACCAAATCAAAACACTTAAACCAAAATTGATTTAAATTGTGTAAGCAACACACTAAAATTAAACCGAAACCCAGTATTAAACCAATATTCACGACCCAAAATCAATACTGCAGACTCATTTAATTATTATTTTTTTACCATCGAAAGAGAATTGATCGAAAGAGAATTGATGATCTTATTTCTGTTGCGTGAAACAGCTTATGACCTGAAGAATTTGTGATCAGCTTCACCTTGGTAGCTGCATTCTTCTTCTTTTTTTAGCTGTATTCGTTTTTCCTGAAATTCCTTGTTTGAATTTGTTTTTTATATGCAGTTGATTTTGGTTTAGATTTCATCAAATAACCCGGATTTGGCCTTCGTCAAATTTGACACCACCTTACTTCTGAAGCTCCAACAGTGGAGAGAACCTCAGATTACAGAATCGCATTAGGTAAACCTTTGAAACATCATGCTTCAACAAAATTCTTTTTTCTGATTGTGTTTTTATTCCTATCAAACACCGTGCCTCACACACACAATTATCCTTTTAAAACTTGCGATTGACACCAATTAATACCCTAGTATAGATACTGACAGGCGAAAGTCTCTTGAAGGAAGTCTATGGTTTACCAAAAACAGTTGAATGTGGGGGTAATCATGGAAAATCACAAGGCTATGGTAGCACTCATAACTGGCATAAACGGAGCATTTTTTGGGAACTGCCATATTGGAAAGATCATAAACTTCGACACAATCTTGATGTGATGCATATCGAAAAAAACTTTTTCGATAATATCATCAACACTTTACTGAATGTGAAGGAGAAAACAAAAGACAACATCAAATCACGACTTGATTTGCAAGAGCATTGTAATCGCAAAGAGTTGCACTTAATGACTGATGGAAAGGCACCAATCCCAATTTTTAGACTACAAGCTGATGCAAAAACAGTTTTTCTACAATGGCTAGCAAAGGATGTTAAATTTGCAGATGGATATTCATCAAGTTTATCTAACTGTGTTGATCTAGCAGGAGGAAAGTTAACCGGAATGAAAAGTCATGACTGCCATGTTTTAATGCAACGATTACTTCCGGTTGCATTTGCTGAGCTTATGGATAAATCTGTATATAATGCACTATCTAGTAAGTATTCAACTTTCTTTATATTACCACCTCTGCATTTTTCTGTTTTTAGTTAAAATAATAAGATCTTGATATTCTTTCTCTACATAAATGGTCACTTATGCTTCTCATGTTGGATGCTTTTTGATGGTCTTGTTTTAAGATAGATAGTTCTTCTAAATAATTAGTATTTTTAGTGTAAGTTTCAATTAGTTAGAAAAACTATCACGGTTTGTGGTTTCATTACGGAATATATACTGTACGATCTATTAGAGTTTGCTATCCATGTGATTGCTTTTTGAATTATAATTGACTTGCATATTTACATTGTTAAATTAAATTCACGTGATGATGCTCTGTTTTTCTTTACTTTTTACAGAGTTTACTCTGTTTTGAGGGCTTGTTAGCCGTGTACAATGCCTATTGATATCACTCATTGGATTTGATTTCTTTCTCTTTATACAAATAAACCAGCGTTAAAAAAATTAAATTATATAATCTAAGGTTTATGTTTATATTTCCTGCAACTGAATAATCTAAGGTTTATGTTTATGTTTATGTGATATACTAGTTTTATGTGAATGCTATTTATAGATGATTTGTTTGACTATAAACCTAAATTATATAATCTAAGGTTTATGTTTATGTTTCCTGCAACTGAATAGTCGAACCTCTGTTACACAATCTTACCGATTGTTTGTTGGTGGATATTAAATTTTGAAATTATAAACTGTTTATTGGTTGCATTATCACAGATACATGTTTTGTTTTATTTTATGTGAAGGCGATTTATACAGTTTGACCATAAAGCCAAGATTATACAATTTTAAGTCTATCTTATGATTGAAACTTGTCATTCATGTAACAATATCTTTTTTTTTTTTGTAGGTGTTAGCTTATTTTTTCGGGATATATGTGCAAGAACTTTACACGAAGATGGTGTTGCGATGTTGCATAAGAATATCTGCATGGTTCTTTGTAACCTAGAGAAAATATTTCTTCCTTCATTTTTTGATGTCATGGAGCATTTGCCAATTCACTTGCCACACGAAGCTCACCTTGAAGGGCCTGTACAATTTAGATGGATGTATCCTTTTGAACGATACATGGGACATCTGAAGAAAAAGGTTAAAAATAAGGCAAAGGTGGAAGGTTCAATTGTTGAACAATACATCAATGAAGAAATTTCTACTTTCTGCAGTTACTACTTTGAGCCACACATCAAGACAAAAAGTCGAAGAGGAGATCGACACTATGATGGAGGTAATCAAGAAGATACACATGAGTTTGATGAAATTCCAGATATATTTTCTCAACCAGGAAGGGGCAGTGGTAAAGAAAAGGAGATATGGTTCAAAGATAAAGATCTTTCTATCGCACATACATATATTTTGCGGAACTGCGATCAATTAAGACCATTTGAAAGGTATGAAAAATTAATATGCACATATATACTTTAATTTATATTTTAATATAGTGAGTATAAAACAATATATTTATTTCCTGTGAGGTTTTATATATAGGTTATTCGATGAGAGCAGACTTGCGGCTAATCCCGAGATAAGCGAAAACAATCTAGTTGAGCTTAGAGAAAAGGAATATTCAAGCTGGCTACAAAAATATGTAAGATTTATTTTTGTTTTAAAAATAATCTTTTGATAAATTTTTGGTAAACTTATATTATGATATGGATTTTTAAAAACAGGTGAAAGATACATAGAAGGATAATTCATATCCAAAATGGTTGCGAACTCTAGTTCATGGTCCAATGATTCAGGTTACTTCTTTGCCAATGTATTTTTGTTTTGGATATGTATTTCATACATATGATTCATATACAAAGTGGTTACTGACTCTAGTTCATGGTTCAATGATTCAGGTTACTTCTTGGCCAATGTATTTTTGTCGTGGTTATGTATTTCATACATATGATCATGGGAAAGACAAAAAGAATGCCAACTATGGAGTTTGTGTCAAAGGTACAACATCTTCTGGTTCAAGTGAAGAACCTGCTTTTTATGAATTACTGAGAGAGATTTTTGAGCTTCATTATCCTGGACCAGTTGATCTTAAATTTGTGGCTTCAAATGTGATTGGTATAATTCAGCCATTAGGAAAGGCATAAGGATAAACAAGTCAGGAGTTGTCGATATTAATGCCAAAGGACGTTATGAAAAATACGATCCTTTTGTTTTGGATTCACAAGCAGATCAAGTATGCTATGTTCCATATCCACGGATCACTCAGCCAAAAAAAGATCAACACTGGAAAGAAGCAATTATGATACAATCGAGGGGGAAAGTATTGGTCAACCGAAATTCGGACATCACTGCAATGCAACATGAAAGTGATGATTCTATTGTTCAAGCTGATTCGTTGAATGTTGAGACACTAACATATCTACAAGGCGAAGCAGAAGATCTTGATGATCCAGAAGTAGTAGCAGAAATTGGATCAGACGTTGAAGATGGAAATTCTGATATCGAATTATCTAGTGATGAATCTGAATAATTTTTGTACACTTATTTATGTCATTTTCTATCTAGACATGCTGCAAAAGCGTTTTATGTTGATTTTCTTTAGTGGTGCTTTGCCTTTTTTTTTATCGATTTTCGATTTTTGATTTTCTTGCATTTTCCTACAGTATGGAAGACTCTCAGTTTATTGATTTTCCTGCATTTTCATCATTGAAATCTCTGGGTTGATGTTTCTTCTCTAGGCTCTGTTAAAGGTCCTTGGTGACCGTAAAGGGATTATACATGTTTGGTGACTTCACATACGAGTGAAACATTGTTGGTGTTTGGATGTTTCTGTGATACAGCCACATCTTACCTAATTATTTCACATACGAGTGACCCATTACATATGCAACACCTGCCTCTTTGGCCCCTATCAGATCCATCAGCTCTTCCCTCACAGAGGGCTCCATTCCACGACTTGGAGTTAACCTGAACCTCACACGCCTCCTCCTCACTTTCCCTTGCGGATACTCATCCTCGTACACTGAACGCAAGCTCTGCAGGGTCATGGATTTACTGCTTTGTATCGTTGGGTCAGCAAAATCATCCTCTGAAACCGTCATGATCGAGTTGGTGAGACTCTTCTGGCTACTTAACACCGCCATTCTCCCATCATAAGATTGACGCTCCGAAGCCGAGGACTGGAGGTCGCTTGCTTCCATCTGGATGAACTCTGCTATGCTCTATATCAGCTGATTCTCAAAGTCCCCGTCCTCCCGTTGAATGTCCTTGTACCCATACCTCACTATGCACCTGTACATACGGTAAGGCTTTGGGCAAACACGGCCAATGAGGAAGCGTTCCTCAGGGATAACATGAGGCACTGGAACTGATTTCACACAAACAAACACCACAACTTTATGAAATGTCGGGATGTTGGTGACAAAGTGAGAGAAAATTGCAGGAACTCCAGTTTTAAAAAAGTTTCGAATTCTTGTCAACTTACCCTTTGGATGCCTTTGAATATGGTTGCTCAATACTGATTTGATAATCATTTGTTTACAACAGCTTGCTGGTGAAAACTCTCATCATATTATAGATGAAGAGTGTTTTTGTATTTCTGCATTTGACTATCTCTTTTGCCATTAATATGTATCAAACTCAGAAACTTACTGCAACCTGAAAGGGAGGATTCTGTAATTTTTTGCTAGAGAAATCAATGTTCTGTTTGTATTGTAGAAGAAGAAGATACGTTGTTCATCTGATCCAGTAGTGACATGTAATGTGTAAATACATTATACATCCACTCTTATTCGAAGTTCCTTTTTTGTGTCCTCTTAGTCTTTTTTTTTTCATTTAGGAGATGGTGATATTTTGTAAAAGAGAGTGTATGAGGTGAAAAGAGTTTAATGTATGTGATGTTTCGTATTTTCTGAATAAAAATGCAAAAGTTTTATTCTTACATATGTGACTACAATATTTGACTATTTGAAATTTTTTCTAGTTATTATATACTTTCGGGTTATTTTTAGAATTTTTTAAAAATTTATATATATAATTTTAATCTTTATCACAAAATATTAACAATTATGTTATAATATGTGATGAAAAGTTTAAGTAAGTAAAAAAGTGACTAATTGTGATGCTATTCTTACAAAATATTTGTAACTGTGAATGACATAAGTTTGTCACAAAAATCGTATAATTTAGTTATTAAATTTGGTCACAAATCCGTAAAAATATTTATTACTATATATTTTTGTAACAATTATGGCACGATTAATGACAAAAAATGGTTACTTTTAATTTAGTCATAATATTATGACAAAATAATAACAATTTTATGACTAACTAATTTTGTCACAATTTCGTATGTAAATCATTATAATATTGTGACAAAACAATTAGTTATAGTTTGTTTGTAACAATATTAATTTTTTTTGTAGTGATTGAGCAATCAATTTATACCCACTCTACATTCATGAACTTGCCTAAACTTCACCACAAGATGAAATTCTCGTTTCTATAATATATTCGCTTAGAGAGAACCACATAGGTTGTTCACCAAAAGCAAACCACAGTTCATTATTTGATGTGAGTATCCTTCTTTGGAGAAGATGATGAATAAGATATCTTGAAAATTGAATTCCACCTATTGCCATCTTTACTATTGATCCCTAAAATACTATTTCATGTGATTTATGGCTGCAGTAGCTTTATAAAGTTAATAAAAACTGTTCTTATTATAAAACATGATTGGCATGAATTTGAGTAGTAAAAACCCTTATTGTCATTTTTATGCAAGTTGATCAAGTATCATGCAAATGTGCTACGTGCGAGGTCAGAAGGAAACTTGTTTGTGCCTCCGCCAGCTTTTCAAAACGTCACTATTCACTTTATTCTATATCTTGTTTTAATTTTCTTAACAAAATATAATGTGAACTAATCTGAGGATTAAGTTAGATTCCAGTTTTTTAGTTGATGGCTTCGAGATCCATTGCGATATTTTTATGATTTTTCTCTAAATGATAAATAGATTTTATTTGTATCTGTTAGTATTTATGATAATTTCGATTTTTATTATTTCATTATATAAATTTTGAAATTGTTTATTGAAACTCGCTAGTCGCAATTGATTTTTTTTAATGTGTTATCAATGATGTGAGTCCTACATTATTATCTATTTTCTCTATCTCGTGTAATGATGCTGTTGCCAATTTCAAACCATGGTTAAACAAACGCTAACTACAAGTATGCACTTTAATACCTCAAGATTGTGAATACTAGATTACATGGAGACCTGCATATATGTACATTGAAAAGAAAACCAATGAATAAAAGTAAAAAAATTATGTCAATTATCACATCGTGGTTGAAGATACTTGAATTATCAATTCTATAGTAGAGATTAGAGTTAAGGATTGTGTTTTGTAATACATGGACTAGTTATGTACAAACGGTCACGTCACTTCTTAGTTCTCAGGTCAGATGATTTGCGTACGAAACTTTGGAAACAATATTCATAAACCTCAAATTATAAACTCTAATCTAGGGTATTTCGTGTTCAGTAAGGAGGAAACTTGTCCCTCACCTCTGCGACATCAGTCCGATGATGTTCCTTTAATCTTATCTTGTTTCTTTTAGAATATTATCTGGAGTATTTGTTTCTTATATCGAAGTATGTGTGAGATAGAAAATATGCACGTATTTTAACCTCAACAAAATGTGTCGTGCTTTTCTCTTATTCAAAATAACATCGTTTTGTGTTTCCATATTAAAACCACCAAACTAATGTCATTTTGAGACATACTGAGCATACCTTATTGCTAATGTGTCACCTATATGTCATCTGACTCATTGCGAGTTAATGGTTGACTAAACCACCATTTAGGTTAACACTGTTTTACGCACCAATTATCTAGATAGGGTAGGTAGTTTATTTGAATTTGGTTGTGTTTTAGGATAGTAAAAAGCACAACTCAATTATATAGCTATAAAAGGATACAACGTGAAATAATTAGAGGATGAAGTTACAATCGAATTGATTCTGTGGTTGATAGCTTCCAATTTATTTTCTTCGTTCTTTAGTTGCTAAATATACTGATTCGGAAAATTTCGAATTTGATTATTTGAGTTTATATACATAGAATTTTAGCTTGTTTATTGCGACTTGGCATTCTTTACTTTTACACTGTTGTAAAATATGTGAGTGAAGACAACACAGTGATATGTTGTTGCTGCTAAAACTATTTTCACTTTTTAATCCTCTTTCCCTTGGTTATAATGAAGCCTTTGCACCAAAAGCTAGCCGAAAGTGGTGCAATAGAATACTAAACTCCAAGACGAATGTGAAATATATGATGAGTTACTTCAAATCCTTGAGGACTATAGAGCTGAGAGGTGTAGCTTTTTTCCCTTGTTAGCGCTTGATTTTGCACCTTAATTAGCTCAATTTCCATTTATACAATATGACTCTTAATGATTTCTGTCGAATTGAATAATCTGATGGTATTTGTTTTCATGGTAGATAAAATTGATAGAAGTGGTGTCTTATAAAGATTGAAAGAACTCTTCGAAGGGAAACAAAAACTGTTTTTGGGTTTCAATCTATTCTTGCTAATTGGCTTCCAAATAAACCTTGAGGGTGGCCAAACTTCACCAAAGAAGCCTGATACGAAGTTAGAGGTAGCTATTAGCTTTGTCAACAAGGTCAAGGTAGAGATTTTGATTAATAATATCCTGTTTTTCTCTTTGCTACTTGCATATAACGTACGTATCATTTGGTTTTTTTCCTGCATGCAAGGTTTATAGACGATGATCGGTCATGTAATTCATTTTTAGACACCTTGAAATGTATGGAAAGTCCATTACTGATGTCTATGAAAAGGTTTGTACTTGCGGTATAAATTTTTTCATTGCTTTTGTTGTCCTTCTTGTCTTATTTTGATATGTATTATCTTGTAGGTGGCTATCCTTTTCCATGACCATCATGATTTGCTTGTTGAGTTCACTCATTTCCTCCCTCAGTAGTTTGGACTACTTTTTTTGTTTGGTTTTTTGTAATTCTTATAAGGGAAAGTGAGAAATTGGAGAGGTCGAACCCTCACATAAAGGAGACCGTTTCTCTAAATATTGAACAATAACACAATAACCGTAAAAAATAGCAAAACACCTAATCCAAATATTTTCGGCTTGGTTTGGCGATCTCTTTTCGGTTAACTTGGTTGAACTCTTTATGTGCGCATCAATATCCACCACCTGGAAAATTATATACAGTTAAAAATTAATATCAATTAGGTAACAAAATTCACAACAAAATAATCAAAGTATTTTCTTTTTTTATATTTATTTTTTGCAAAATTGGGAACTATTAATATATACCAATAAATCTACTAATAATTATATTTTTAGAGTAAGGTGCTGGAATACATATCATGAAAATCAGGTAAGGAAAGGTGCTGGAATACATATCATGAAAATCAGGTAAGGACTTAAATTTTCTCATCTAAAATTTGGTTACCTTTTTTTTTTTGTTTTCTAAATCAGGTAAGGACTTAAATTTTCTTATCTAAAATTTGGTTACCTTTTTTCTTTTGTTTTCTTATTCTCTATTATTTTTATCTTTTTAACTCTTCTCAACTCCTCTTGTCTATCTTTGTGGGAATTCTTTAATTCTCTTCTCGTAATTTGTGTGAGGTAAGGAGAACCTTTTCCCTCTAGATGACTTAGGTCTAGGCAAGAATTTATAATTTCACGATGAGCTTCTCTAGTTTTGTCTTATCATTCTTGAGTGTTTTATGTTTATATTATGAAATAACATGTGGATGAAGCAAGGTTCAAATTTTCTGGTTGGTAGCTTCGAAATGCAATGCAATTTCCTATGATTATTCTCCGGTTATTAGATCTGATGCTTGGTTGTTTTCGTCAGAGTTTTGGGATGATTTTCGAGTTTGTTTATTTGATAATATAGGTTTTGAAGTGTCTTGCGATTAATTTACATTGATGTATTTTCTCTTTTCTGAATAATTAATGAAATTCTAGGCAATTTTCAAATCATGGTCACAACGAGGCTAACTATGATAGATGCACATGAATACATCTGTACTGTGAAGGATACATTTCAGGACAATCGTGAAATGTATGATACATTTCTGATGGTCATGAAGGACTTCAGAACTACTAGGTATACTCTATGTGTTAACGATTTGATTATCCTCTTAAGTTTGTTCCATTTCAGTCCACATAATAACTACTCTTATGATTAGTGACAGTCTTGCCATAGCAAAGGTTAAAGACCTCAAGGGACACCGTGAGCTGATTTTGGGTTTCAATAAATTCATGCCTGAAGATTACAAAATGACATTCGAGAGTGACGAACAACATGAAAAACCTCCAGTAAAATTTGTAGAAGCTATTCATTTTGTAAAGGAGGTCAAGGTAAGGACACTCTTCCATTGTAGAAAACGGGGATGGACAATTGGATTAACAATTTGATTTGATTTATTTATTTATTCTATCAAGCTTTTGAAATTAAAACCAAATAGCCCAATTTTGTATTCTAGTCCTACTATATTGTTTTTTTTTCTTTTTCTTTTTTGCCATTTTGCTCTTAAATATCGTTTATCTGTAGGCAACGTTACAAGAAGAGTGCTGATGAGGTCTACCATGAGGTAATATATATGTGTGTGTAAACTTATATTTTTTTCAGCTTTCTCTTATTTAGTTTAATGATTACATACATTAATATATATGCAGGTGTGTGATGGCCTTTTCCGAGACCAACCTGAGTTACGTGTGGAATTTGCTTACTTTCTCCCTCGTCGTGAAATGGGGTGGAAGTGCAATTTGAATAAACTGGGATAATAAGTTATGTATGCAATAAAGCCATGTTGTAACTTGTAATCACTAGTTTGTTGTTGAACTAGTACAAGTGGTAACTATTTATGTTTATGCAACTCATTACAGCTAATTTTTTATCTTTTGAACTGCATATTATGGACAACATAAAATTTATTTTTGTTTGTCGACAACTAATTTCTTTTTGGTGCAACAACAACGTACACCTTATTTTCAATTTTCTAATACAATTGTGCTCAACACACAAAGTCCATTACCAAAAAATGGATTCGTCTACAATCTAGTTAAATATATAATAATTATTCGTATGTTAGATAAAAAATCAAAAAAAAATATAGTTTCAATGTCTAAAAAGTTATTGTATTTGAGTTTTTTTCTTTTATTTCATATATAAATGTATTTGCGAATTCTCATGTATGAGTTGATGTGTAATACTGATTAAGTTCTTCATGAATATTGTCTTAAATATCTTGTTTTTTTTAAAAATAGTTGGATGCCGTCACAAAAATGTTTAAAATAGTCGAATCTTTCTTAATATACGATATAATGTTTTGGTTCTTTTTTAATATTTGCTAAATTTATTCAAACCCGGAAAACCATTTTACAACTTGTGCAACTGTTTTTGATTATATCTAAAATATATTAAAGAAGAAACATTCATTTTTGCTTAGGTATCATCATCACATTAATTCTTAGTTTTTTTAATTGGAAGAATTACTTAAAATGATCTAAAAGTTGGATTTTTCTAAATGTATAGACATTTTATTGTATGTTTGGCAAAACAAATCCAAATGGATAGTGAAATTATAGTTCAGTCATTTATGGCTAAACAAAAAACGTCTGCCACAATTACTGTTGTATCCTTGGGATGTCTACTTATGGAGTCTAATACTATAGACTGCTAAAGAAGTCCACTGGTATAGACTGCCAAATAAGTCTACTCTGTAATTACTTTTAAAATTATAAATATAAAAATTATTAAAAAAATTGTTAAAAAGTTATATATATATATATATATATAACTAAAACATAGACAATTGGCATCTATATACAATAAAATTTTATGAAAATAAATCAATTTATAAATTTCATAAATATAAGGTTCAAAACGGTTAGGGTTTAAGGTTCAAAAGGGTTAGAGTTTGCCCCAGGACTGTCTTCCTAAAGATATTCTCTCTTAAAATTCTCTTTTTGGATTCGGCTCTATTCATAAATTATCCTCCATTTGGCTTCGTTTACCTCTTTATGAGGCTTTGTTTACCTCTGTGTGAGGATTGGTTACATCTCATATATCTCTCATTTGTGGAGTTTTCAGAAGTGACGGTAGTCCTCAAAAACTTTGTATGTTATTTGCTTTGGCTTAGTATACTAACCCACAGTCAAGTTTCCTCCTTTCTGGAGATGCCGGACCTTTCTTCTTCCTCTTTAGATGGGAAAAGTTATTTTGCCGCATTTGCGATATGTAAGAGTTTTGGTCATGTTGAGGATAAAATCTATGTCCTTATCCAATGTCCTTTTGATGGATGATGTTGGAACCTCATCTCTCGGTCCAAGCTCAGTGAAAACTCACAAGCATCTCTGCAGTTGTTGCCTCAAGAAGCTATTGTTCTCCCTTTGGCACTCAACGATGCTCTCTCCGCAAGTTTTACTTTGTCCCAAGTGATTTTGGACTCGGATGTCCTAGTTATTGCTCCTGTGTTGAGCACGGATCTGTTCGAGATAGCATGCTCTCTACATGATGTACAAAGCCTTGTTATACTCTTCTCTTCCATCTATGTTTATGTTTTCTCTTATTTCGGCACTATGTGTTCCAGTTGTTTTAATTTTGGTAATGTTTCATTTGGATTTCCTCTTTGTATGGACCATCTTCGGATTAGTTGAATGAAAACAAAACCCTTTGACCAAAAAAGGGTACAAAAATGTAATTGTTAGGGTAAACACATATTTTATATGAATCATGGTTTATGGTTTGGTTAATGATTTAGAGTCCATATATTTGTTATTTTAACAGTTAATTGTTATTATGGTAATAAAATTAATGTTTGATATAAGTTTTAATCAAAAATATTCGATTTAGGGTTTAGGATAAAGAAGAGTTCATCAGAAGACTTTGTGTATAGACTTCAAAAGAAGTTTAAAATTCAAATTAAACATAGCAGGAACAAGATCTAACCAGACCGGATTTGTTGGTAATTGAACAATTTCACTGGCTATGTAGACTTCTTTGGAAGACTTCTTTTGTAGACTTCAAAATAAGTCTAAAATTCAAATTAAACCTAGCGGGTATTAGATCTTTTATTTTAACTAATTGGGCGCGAACCTGACTTTCAAAGTAGACTTCTCTCAAAAAGACTTATATTACACATCAGACTTCTCCAGTAGACTTCGTTTGTAGACTTCAAAAAGAAATCTGCTTAACCGAAATTTTTTCTGCATATATAAAAAGATTTTAACCTAATTGTGATAAAAATAAGTCTCTGTCTCTCTCTGTCTCTCTCTCTCTCTCTCTCTCTCTCAAACAACGCCTCTCTCTCCTCTCCCTCCTCTTTGGTCATGAATCTCTTCTCCTTCCCCCCCTCGTCGTCAATCTCATCTCCATCCTCTCTATCTCGCCTACCTCCTGTCACTTGCCGGTTATGGCAGTGGTAAGCAAATCTGAGCTTATGTGTTCCTCTTTTTGTTTGGTTTGTGTTCATATTACAAATCTGAGCTTATTATTACAGACATAAGGTTATTGTTTTAGATTTGAGTTTATTTTTGCAATCTGAGATTATTGTTGTAGAAATTTTGTAGATTTTGTTGCAGATCTGAATTTTGTTGCAGATCAGAGTTTTTCGTTGCTGTTGCAGAGCAGAATTTTGTTGTTTTGTTGTAGACCTGAATTTTGTAAATATAATAAATTTTGTTACAAATCTGAATTTTAACGTTTCTCTTTTCTTATTGTTGCAGATCTGAGCTTATTCATATTTATGGTTTTGTTCTACAGATCTCAACAATGTTCTTGCTTGTCTCCGCCGGATTTAAGTGATTTTAAGGTTCAAAACGGTAATTATACGGTACAATTGGTCAGAATCAGACTTCAGTCACAAATTTCAGCCCCATATTTCTTGAGCAGACTTCAGTCGCAAACTTTTCGAGCAAACTAAAGTTTCAGACATCTTTTTCAGACATTTTAGCTTAAGACTGATTTCATATGCCAATTTTAAGATTAAGAATCACTGACCCTTAAATGTTTGTTTGTTTTAAAGGTCTACTTTATATGTAATGTTGGGTTGCATTGAATGATTTGTATCGTATTCCTAAATTATGTGTCTTTATGTATTCTGCAAAATAGACTTCACTGTCAGACTCTCTCTCTCTCTCTCTCTCTCCCTCCCTCTCTCTCTCTCTCTCTCTCTCTCTCTCTCTCTCTCTCTCTCTCTCTCTCTCTCTCTCTCTCTCTCTCTCTCTCTCTCTCTCTCTCTCTCTCAAACAACGCCTCTCACTCCTCTCCCTCTTCTTTGGCCATGGATCTCTTCTCCTTCCTCCCTCGTCGTCAATCTCATCTCCATCCTCTCTATCTCGCCTACCTCCTGTCACTTGCCGTTTATGGCAGTGGTAAGCAAATCTGAGCTTTTGTGTTCCTCTTTTTGTTTGGTTTGTGTTCATATTACAAATCTGAGCTTATTATTACAGACATAAGGTTACTGTTGTAGATTGGAGTTTATTTTTGTAATCTGAGATTATTGTTGTAGAAATTTTGTAGATTTTGTTGCAGATCTGAATTTTGTTACAGATCAGAATTTTTTGTTGCTGTTGCAGAGCAGAATTTTGTTGTTTTGTTGTAGACCTGACTTTTGTAAATTTAGTAGATTTTGTTGCAAATCTGAATTTTAACGTTTCTCTTTTCTTATTGTTGCAGATCTGAGAATATTAATATTTCTGGTTTTGTTCTACAGATCTCAACAATGCTCTTGCTTGTCACCGCCGGATTTAAGTGATTTTAAGGTTCAAAACGGTAATTATACGGCACCATTGATCAGAATCAGACTTCAGTCACAAACTTCAGCCTCATATTTCTTTAGCAGACTTCTGTCGTAAACTTTTGAGCAAACTTAAGTTTCAGACATCTTTTTCAGACATTTTAGTTTAAGACTGATTTCATATGCCAATTTTAAGATTTAGAATCACTGGCCCTTAAATGTTTGTTTGTTTTGAAGGTCTACTTTATATGTAATGTTGGGTTGCATTGAATGATTTGTATAGTATTCCTAAATTATGTGTCTTTATGTATTCTGCAAAATAGACTTCACTGTGAGACTGCATATGCTGACTTTGTATGCAGACTTCTTAACCCATATGTAAGAATAGTAGAGGACTTCGTATGCAAACTTCTTTGTCAGACTTTATATGAAGACTTCTCAATTAGAATTCTTTAGTAGACTTCACAAGTATACTTATATTACATAACATATGGTTTACCTTAATAAATTTATATTACATAATAGAATTCTTATATAAACTTTTGAAGTGAACTTCTTACGCAGACCTCTTCTTTGACATCTTACTCAGTCATCACCGTACTTCTTCCTTGACATCTTATAACTTAGTCATCAACATCTTTGAACTCCTAATAAAATAAGAAATTTAATTAGATTTTAACTATTGAGAAGAATTTTTTCGACAATATAATGAACACCGTTCTCAATGTCCAAGGGAAGACGAAGGACAATCTGAAGTCTAGATTGGACTTGCCAGAGTATTGTTCTCGTAAGACGCTACATGTATCAGCGAATGGAAAGGCTCCAGTCCCTGCATTTTGGTTAGATACACCTTCAAAGGCTGAGTTTTTTGACTGGATTGCCGAGAGCGTTAAATTTCCAGATGGATACGCTTCTAACCTTCGAAATTGCATTGATCGTGGAGAAGAGAAGTTTTCTGGATTGAAGAGTCATGATTGACATGTTATGATGCAACGCCTCCTTCCATTTGCTTTTGCCGGTCTTCTACCACGTAATGTCCATGAA